ACTTTATTTTGACTTCCGACCTATATGTTCAATGACTTCACACCACTGATTTCATAGTATTAACACTTTATTTTGACTTCCGACCTATATGTTCAATGACTTCACACCACTGATTTCATAGTATTAACACTTTATTTGGACTTCCGACCTATATGTTCAATGACTTCACACCACTGATTTCATAGTATTAACACTTTATTTTGACTTCCGACCTATATGTTCAATGACTTCACACCACTGATTTCATAGTATTAACACTTTATTTTGATTTCCGACCTATATGTTCAATGACTTCACACAAGTGTCACTTTTATTTTGACTTCCGACCTATATGTTCAATGACTTCACACTAGTGTCACTTTTATTTCGACTTCTGAGACATAATTCCACTTGCTGTAAACTTTGTGACCATACTAATGGGCAATGTTTCTTTCAGGTGTCAAACGTTACTGAATAATTTTAAATGACTGAATCAAAGTGTCAATCTATAAAGATCATATATATATAAACGAATACAAACTCAATTGTATTAATTAGGTAAACATTTTTTGTAGAAGTTCCAAAAACAACTGATTGTTAAAAAATATTGGCCATTAAGAATTTAAATTCTTGTTTGTTTGTTTCAAGTACTTGTGCAAAGCTACACAAAGATTATCTACAGTAGCCTTCCCTAATTTTTGTTTGTTTGTTATCATTCCCTAATTTTGAAATGATCCAACAAAGACAGCTAGTCAACAGCACCCACCACAAACTATTAGCTATTCAAAGCAAATGGGATTATGTAGCCACATCTCCAATCGGTGAAGAACAATTTTAAAGTAATGGGACACAAACCGTCGACTTTCTGATTCACACCATAATCACTAGGCCATATCTAGTCAAATTTTAAAAGCAAAAATTTACCTCCACTGGCATATTCCATCACAAGGTACAAAGTTTTCTCAGTCTCTATAACTTGATAAAGTTTCACTGGAAAACATACGAAAACATCTAATTAATAGAAGTAAAGAAACAATTTCAAAGATTTAATGGCAAACTACACACACACACCAATTCTTACAGCTGCTCATGACCTTCTGGTACATGAAAAATTTAATAATATAAAAATAAGGTGCTTTAAACACTAAGACACCTTTTAGCATGCATAACCACGGGTGCAAAATAAATATTACATAGTAAAAATAACACATCACTTTTCATTTATTTGAAATTTATTAAAATTCTTTGGTTAATTTTTTTAAATTTGCTTTCAAAATATACAGTTGTGTTACATCCTGAACTGGTTTTACATCTGTAAGGTACACTGTCACATTTTCTTGTCTCCAGCTTTTTACATTAATAATACATTCCTGTGCTCTTAGTCTACACTGAAAGAAGTTTTCTAACTTGGACACTCGTATAGTACTACTGAGTGGAGAAGGACAAACAAGAGAAAAAAATTCTAACTTTTAGTGGAATTAAAAAATAAAAACAACAAAAAACTCTTGGACATCCATTAACGAAATATTATAGCACAGTTTCTTTGACATTAACAAACTGAAGTTTATATATATATATTTGTTCGTCAACTCTGGATATATTATTCTAAGTAACAAAAGTAGAAAACAAAGAATAAACTGCATACAGTCAAGTTTCAGTAGTCAATTAAATCAAAATTACTACACCTACATTGGGATGGTAAAATAGTCCATTTAAATCATCACACCAATATTAAATTGGTCAAGAAGATCATTAAATCACTATCACCATACCTATATTAGGATGATCAAATAGACCATTTAAATCATCACACCAATATTAAATTGGTCAAGAAGATCATTAAATCACTATCACCATACCTATATTAGGATGATCAAATAGACCAATTAAATTTATTTTTACCACATCGATATTAGGATGGTCAAGCAGTCCAATTAAATCAATTACCACATACCCATACTAGGATGGTCAAGCAGTCCACTTACATCAATTACCACATACCCATGTTAGGATGGTAAAGCAGTCCACTTACATCAATTACCACATACCCATACTAGGA